CAACACCACTTTGTCCCTAGGCAAAAGCTGGTAATGTCCCTCGCAGGATACTGCCGCCAGTGTTAGCTTCGCAGAGGTGATGGCAATAAGGAATGTCACCTTGCGAGTAAGAGTGAGTAATGTCTCCGTCTGCCACTTTTGCCAGTTATAGCACCTCCTAGTGGAGTGGGAACCCCTTATAATGGGCACGGTAAGTCATGGTGCACCCATAGTTGCTCCTTACTTATGCAGGCTGTGTTTTTTTTTAACTTTGCAGAGCCATGCAGTACTTGTTCTTTACTGCTCCATCACACAGTGCAAGCATCCTGCCTAACTGAAAACAATGCAGACATTATGTGATTGTTATCCTAGCTCAACAAGTTTTAAGAAGGGAGGCTGAAGGACTACAATGAGAACAGGGCTCTCTCTGTAGTATAAGTTTCGGTTTTATTTTACAATAATGAAAATATGAAAGCGCAATCATGCAAGTGTAAAAATAACATTAAAATGAGTTTAAAATAAACACTATGATGGCTGAAAATACACTATACATTCCCTTTAGGTCTAAGGCATGCAAGGATTAAATCAGGGAATAGGGTAATTAAGTAACCAAGAGAAAGAAAAAAGGAGCCAACACCCAACACATGCACACAAAAGCTGATTTTTTTTTACCTTCAGATTCGGCTGCACAGGAAGACATAAAAGAAAGAAAAGATAATAAAATCATGAAACAAGATAGCCAATTAAAGACTAAGAAAAAAAGATTTTGCCCACCCAGGGCCATGTGAGTTATGTATTTCAAACAAATTGCCCCTTGACAGAAATATTACATGAATGAGGCTGGGTGTATTAGGTATATAAAGTACATTAAAATGTATAAAAGTGACTAAAATAGGATTTTTGTACTCACTGTAAAATCCTTTTCTTGGAGTCCATTGATAGACACTCTAAGCATTTCACCTTTTGGTTATACTGCCACCAACAGCAGGATTGGACACTGGCAAACAAAAAAACTGTAGGCCAATTTGGAAATAACCCCCTCTACTATCAGCTGCCTCAGTTTAGAAACAAAGCAGTACCAAGAGCAGGAGCATAAAAACGGATAGGTAGGAAGTGCACCTGTAACTCAAACAACTCATCAGATGATGCCTCAACATTCACTTTGTAGAACATAAAGAATATAGCAAACAAAAGGCGCAAGCCTTGCAAATCTGAGAAGCAGCTGCTTGATCCTGGAAAGTTCAACAAGCCTGCAAAAATCTAGAAGCCTGCAAAGATCTAGTTGATACATCCTCACAGGAAAAGGGTGGAACCCGCTTCGTTAGACCATAAGCTTAGATTATGGTCTCCATGACCAACATAAAAATGGGGGGGAATGAGGTCTAGGGTCCATCCAAGATGACAAACAGAGAATCAGATGAAAAATAGACTTTTACAGCCCAAAACACAACCAGGCAATGGAGGGAAAGTTCCTTTGGATAAACTGGAGACGGACAGAGGGACAGAAGACAGATTTCCTGGTTTAGAAGAAAGACAGACTACCTTAGACAAATAGTACTAGGCCTCAACACCACTTTGTCCCTAGGCAAAAGCTGGTAATGTACCTCGCAGGATACTGCCGCCAGTTTTAGCTTCGCAGAGGTGATGGCAATAAGGAATGTCACCTTGCGAGTAAGAGTGAGTAATGTCTCCGATGGGTTCAAAAACAGCTATAGGGGTAACAAATGCCTCTGTTTCTCAAAACCTTGATTTCAACAGACTTTTTTCAAGTCAGTGACCATAAAGCTGGTTGATAACTAAGCGCTTGAGACAGAGGATTCTGACGTTCTGGAAGAGCCCATGGAGAGTTTGCCAGGACTCTTTTATCAGGTCAGAATACCACGGCTGCCAGGGCCAGTCCGGAGCAATGAGGATCACTAGGCTTTACTCCATCTCAATCCTGTGAAGCAAATAAGGAAGAGGAAACCATCCATCGCATGCTTTGGAGGATCCCTGTATCAGGAGACAAACCTGAACTGGAAGGTCCACATCTGGTGTATATCCACCTCCCCTTGCAACACAGATCAGATTTCAGCTGATGGAAATCCATTGCGGCTATAAGAACTATCTAATTAAGATATTGTTACGATATACAAATTGTGATAGATACCAATATAGATATTTACCATTCACGACTGGGCCATCATACATTGTCTCTCGTGGATACAACATAGCTAGCCATGAGAGGGTTAGAAGCATTTTAAGATTTTAGATGTTTGTCTACATGTATTTCTATGGTGCTTTTGAGATTAAATATTGCTATATATAAATTGATTTACGTTTTGGTGTTGAATCAGTTGACCCAAAAAGCTTTACTTAAGTGTTTAAATATATGCGTAGCCCCTATCCCCCATTTGTATATATTAGGACTGTGACTCTACAGAGGCAAACTCATCAGGTAAAGACAGAAGCGATTTAGCATTACAGAGAATCTCAGCAGCTGTTGGTTCAAAGGCCACCAAGGCAGCAGGTAAATTAGATACAGAATCTGTTGCAGAAGGAGTGTGAAAACACTTGTGGCCTCTGCTGTTGGAGTCAGATAATAGCTGGGTGATTTGGTATATAAAATCTTAAATGACTGCACTAAAAACTTCACCCGAGAGAGCAGAAAAACCGGCCATATTCAACGAAGCTAAGGAGGACTGCAAAGAGGGAAGAACCTCTAGGATCAGAGAGCACCAGGATTCCCGGTTGAAGATGTCAGCCGCATCTGTAGGCATGTTGCAACAGCCCTGGAGTCATAAGTAAAGGGTAAACTTGGGGTACCCAGTACAGACTATTCCCACTGTCTAGAATCAAACATGCTGCGGTAAGGCAATTAAAAGCCCAGGGTACAAGGCAAGGCATCAGGTACCCATGAAAACCAGACAGATCGTAGAAGGTGAGGGTCGTATGACTAGAGGTGACCAAAGTCATTTTAAGCGGGCAGCAGGAACAGATTGGAGATTGCAGTACCACATGGCTCTTTTGAAGGCAGAGCAGCAGTGGGGAGATGCTAGCTCACCGCTGTATGGCGGGAAAGAGTGCGGGATACGCCACCCAGCGGGTGACATCAGTGTTTAGTCCCACAGCATTAAACCCTTCTGCAATGGAAGCTGTCCAGAAGCAGGGAATTTTAAAAGTGCCCAGCGACCTTGAGGTAGCACCTGATGCTTTCCCTGGCTGGCCCACTTCACAAAGTAAGGCTTCTTAGACAGGGCAAGCTCTGATGCAATGTCAGCAGCTCTGGACCAGAAACATAGTCTGTAAAGTGCCCTACATATAACCCAGTGCCTGATGGTCACTTCCAAGCTTATCCCAGTCCAGGAGGGTCCGAATGCGGCATTCCGAAGGTCAGGATGAGGATGGCAATGCTGGATAGCTGCAATCTCAGAGACCACCTCTATCAGCAGTGCAAAGAAGAGTCTTGCGCAAATGAAAGGTTTGGATTATATCAAAAAATGTGCTAGCAAAATTAGGTAAATCGTTTACTCAGCAAAGCTAAACGGAAAAGATGTCCATCCTCCCATCACACTAGCAAAAAAACTGAGGTATGCTGGTACTAGAAGGGGTTATTCTCACCTAGGTTACATTTTTCTTTGCCGGTGTCCAAACTTCCTGTACTAAAGGCAGCAGTATAGCCCGAAGGTGAAAAACTTCCCAAGTCCCTCAATGATGGAGAAAGGAAGATATTTAGCATTATACCAACCTTGTCAAATCTCTAATCCAGCAACTGCCTGCCATAGAAGACAGTATATAGTCACCACTGTGACAACCCTTTTCTCCTACCTCTTCTCCATCCCAGTGTTGCAGCCTCATTAAGCCTTTTCAGTGTTCTACACTGCCAAACTTGTCAGTCTGCTGTGGAAACAACTGACCATCCCACTGTTTGTATGGGTGGATGTAATGGGCGAGTGGATGAAAAATGGGCCACTGGAGAAGTGAGTTTATGCTAGCTTTTATAGCAGAAGACTTCTGGAGGTCTTAAAAATGTTCAAAGGCTTCCTATAGGATCAGGCAGCAGATATACTGTATATAAGCCTTAACTGCTTCACAATCTTAAGCAAAGCGTCATTACTTGCATATCTCTTAGTTAATAGGCCCCGTGTCTGTTAGTCCTGTGGCAAGTGCCCGCTCTGCCTCTTTATTAAAATAGATTTTTACTATCTCCTCATGAATAATTTAAGAGATATATAGTTAAATGCGGTATATCAGTAATAATTTACCACAGCAAACCAGTTAATTGCCAATATTAAACAGTGCTGGGTTACACAACAAAATAACACTTCAACTTGCAAAAACAGCCTGCTAAGCGTTAGATTTAACCTTGCTGGCCAGGGTTAATGCTGTCATAGTATTTTGCATGTGATATAATAAAAGCATGCAGTATAAAAATCTGTCTAAAAAGCACACATGCACATTTATAAAACAACATGCAACAAGTCAGTTGATGGCATGAAGCAACAGTGAACTGGCAGATATGTGCATGCAAGTGATGCCACTGCACCAACAGAAACAGCCTGTCTGCCTGCCAGAAGCACTACTAATCTAAGTGGCAGTTCACCTGACTGTCTGGGGAGAAGGCTCCATGATTGGATTCGCACAACTGCATGCATACAGTAATTTGGTAGAAGAATGATTGGAAAACATGAGAGGGTAAAAATCAGAGTAGCATGGAATGAATGTCTGTGCAACTATTATTTTACCTCAAACATACAGGAAAGAATGTATTTCAATCACGGAAAAATAATTTAATGCTTTTGTAAATGTGTATTAAAAAGGTATGGCAGTGTGCGGGGCAATTCTGTAGTGTCTGGGTCCTAGATGTGATCGTCACCCCAATCTGCATGTAGTTTCCTTCTAAAATCCAAAAAGCTACAAGTAGGTTAACTGCTTTCTGCCAAACTGTAATTGGTTTCAAAAGGTATACAAAAGGGAATCTATACCCTTTTTTTTTTTAAATTTGGGGTGGGGCGGTGTAGATTAATGCTGTATTGTATAACTAAAGCCAAACCCAATGTGCGTCCCAATGGTGAAATTTCCCTTCGCTTTCTGTCCCAGAGACGCAACAGGCCCCTTTCACACGAGCGTTCGGGTTGTCAGGTTTTCAACCCTCCATTTGCAGATGAAAAATGGACAACAATGCATCTCTATGGCATTGCGGATGAAAATTGATGACCATCAGTTTACATCAGAAAACATCAGTGTCAGTTGAAGTCCACAATTTTGAGACGGATCAGCTCTCCATTTTGACTGACCGGGACGAATGTAACCTGATGTAATCTGATGATCAGTTTACGTCCATTTTTTGGGACTGATGTCGTAATACAGCATGGCAAGCTCAATGCATACTGGAGAAAGCAAAGAATAATGGGAATTTACCATACTATGGACATGTAAAAAACTGATGTAAACTGAACTGACAAGGGATGTGCAAACTGATGTAAACTGATTCAGTTATCATTAGGGATGCACCGATACCGCTTTTTCGTTATCGAGTACCGATCTTTTTTTTTCAGTACTCGCCTATACCGAATACCGATACCGGAAGTCCCATTAAGGAAGCCTGGCGGCGTGTAATGACTCTGTGCCTTGCTTCTTGATTTATTTTTTTGTTTAAATCGGTTCAGAAATAGAGCTTTAGATATGCTGCTTCTGTTGGAGTTGGGTTTTAAACTAACCATTTTGCAAGCAAAAGTATTTCCAAAACAGATTCATCCAGAATTGCTATAAATGCCATTTGGGAAATGAATGTTATTAAAAATCAGCTCACCCTTTAGCTTGCAGCTACCCAATGTAATACCACCGCCTAAAATCCAAATGTTGCCTCGCTGTAATCATGGTAACACTGGGTTATTTGTACACTGGCTGGGTAAAGTTTTACCCCCAAATTGTAGTTAAACAATAAAAGCTCATTAATTTGATGCTAGGAGATACCGCACATCATTGCTTCTCTTCTAATGACAAAATAACTTTCAAATCAAAGCCACCGTCTGGAATAACTAGACATAATAATTAAAAGTAAATATCTGAGAAATGTTAAAATCCAAACCCCACAAAAAAAAAAAATGAAACTATGACTTCTGAGTTTATGACAGACAGGAACTTTCTGTTTGCTGAATGACTCAAGAAAGGGACTTTCAATGGAGAATGGAAATAGTTCTACGCTAACAAAGCATAGTGATACAAAGAACAGACACAACATGTTACTCTATCACTGATTGTACACACACAACAATCAATATGACTTACCAGCCTCCTCTGCATCATTGGACACAATATTGTACAATGTATCCAGTGCATAGCCAATGATTTCAGAATCAGATCTAAGAGGAGAAAGGGTATAGTTCAATATATCATAAATAAGTCATTCTTTCTGCAGCCCTTTAGTAATAATTATCACCAACATCTGTGTTAGCCACCAGGACACTGCATAAAGACTATATAGATCGTTTGCAAAACTGACCTAATAAGATACACTACATTACCAAAAGTATTGGGACACCCCTCCAAATCATTAGATTCAGGTGTGCCGTGAAATTTCCTTGCTACTAAATATTCCAACGTCAACTGTTAGTGGCATTATAACAAAGTGGAAGCAACTGGGAACAACAGCAACTCAGCCACAAAATGGTAGGCCATGTAAAATGACAGAGTGGGGTTAGCGCATTGCTCAAGTGCACAGTGCGCAGAAGTCACCAACTGTCTGCAGAGTCAATAGCTACAGACCTCCAAACTTTGTGTGGCCTTCAGATTGGCACAACAGTGCGTAGAGAGCTTCATGGAATGGGTTTCCATGGCCAAGTAGCTGCATCCAAGCCTTACATCACCAAGTGCAATGCAAAGCGTCAGATGCAGTGGTGTAAAGCCCGCCGCCATTGGACTCTAGAGAAGTGGAGACGTGTTCTCTGTCATGACGAATCACGTTTCTCTGTCTGACAATCCGATGGAAGTGACTGGGTTTGGCGGTTGCCAGGAGAACGGTACTTGCCTGACTGCATTGTGCCAAGTGTAAAGTTTGGTGGTGTAGGGTTGTTTTTCAGGGGTTGGGCTTGGCCCCTTAGTTCCAGTGAAGGGAACTCTTAAGGCATCAGCATACCAAGACATTTTGGACAATTTCATGCTCCCAACTTTGTGGGAGGAGTTTGGGGATGGCCCCTTCCTGTTCCAACATGACTGCGCACCAGTGCACAAAGCAAGGTCCATAAAGACATGGATGAGCGAGTTTGGGGTGGAGGAACTTGACTGGCCTAAACAGAGTCCTGACCTCAACCCGATAGAACACCTTTGGGATGAATAAGAGCGGAGACTGCGAGCCAGGCCTTCTCGTCCAACATCCGTACCTGACCTCACAAAATGCGCTTCTGAAAAAATGGTCAAACATTCCCATAGACACAATCCTAAACCTTGTGGACGGCCTTCCCAGAAGAGTTGAAGCTGTTATAGCTGCAAAGGGTGGGCCAATTCAATATTGACTAAGACGCCATTAAAGCTCATGTGCGTGTAAAGGCAGGCGTCCCAATACTTTTGGCAATATAGTGTACATTAGATACATCATTCTATAGGAAATATGATATATTTTCAGGTGAAATGTAAACATTTTTAAGCATATCTACAGCCAAAACAATGTTTTTGTTTTTTTACTATTAGCTAGAGTAGGGAAGGGATTAAACATACTGGAGGGTTTTTTTTGTAGTCTGTAGAGATGGGAGATATTTCTCTTCATGTTCTATCACGTAGAGACAACAGGAAGTGAGAAAAAAATCCTCTCTTAGTTGGCAATGGAACAAGTGTCCCTATCGAAAAGGCCTCCCCTCTAATTCTGTACCTGTGACAACTAAACATTTTGGGGTTTTCCCTCACTTTAAATTCTGGTAACAAATGGTTTCCAGGACAAATACCTGCACAGCAGCGACACAGACAGCAAAAAACAGACAGGGTTACTAACCCTTTCCTACTATGTCCAAAACTAGATAGAAAAAAAATTGCTTCAGATAAGCTGGTGCAGTACAGCAATGTCTAAAAGGAAGAATGGTTTACACTTCTGAATGTTTAAAGCTAAAGAAGGATATAAAAGCTCTATATTCCTTAATACATCATGAAATCTGCAGTGTGAGATGGTTTCATATTAACGTTGATCTGCACTCACCAGGCACAAATTGCTTCTCATCAGCCACTGAACGGACTAAACACAGCTTAAGGGTGCCCACACACCTTACGATAATCACGGGAAATCCCACGATCGTGCGATTACCGTAAGGTGTGTGGAAGCCGTGCGACCTCTACTACTGTAAGGTTGCACGACTTTTAACTTACGAACATGTTCGAAAACCCGCCGAGTTACATGTTCCTAAGATAAAAGCCGGACGGGCCGGTGACGCAAGCGCACACTGCCTGTTCAGCATTGCGGTCATCGGAAGCCCGCCCCTCAGATCGTGCGTTTTTTAAATTACATTACAACCATTGCAAGACAAAAGTCTTGCAATGGTTGTAAGGTGTGTGCCCAGCATTAATAAGGCTCACTGATCAGCCAGACACCCCAGCACCTGGCCACTGATGAGCCCATGGTCAAAAGGCAGATGGTGAAAACAACTCCACACATCTTGCACGGTCTGCACTCACTTGCCAAGATGGCGTCAGGCACCATAAGGGAGAACTCTGCATCTAGGCCATCAGCAGACTCTGAGAACACCCAGGACCTCTTGCCGACCTCCACCTGGGCAATTGGCCAGCAAACTCTTAACGCAGCTGAAGGTCACTGTGCGAGAAGAACTTACCAAGGCCGTATCAGAACTCCAGTGGGAAGATTCATGAGATAGGCCATCCCACAGCCTCCCTGAAGTGTAAGATAGACAATTCTACCACAGTCAACGATGGCCACAAGTAAGACTTGGAAACTTCACAGAAATAACTAACCCTCCTGTAGGACCAGCTCAAGGACTTTGAGAACAGTAACAGTCAGGGATCTCCCTGAAGACCTATAGGGCTCCGTTACAGCCCTATTTTAGGAACTAGCCTCTGACCCTACACTAAAGCGCCTTGAAATGGATGGGGTGCATAAGACCCTTCGCCCCAAAAGACCAAGTCGCAGGATATTATTATTTTTTTTACAAAACTACATATTGAGGATGCGGGGAACGCGTCACACTTATCCACATATGGTGCCGATGCCCCATGGCGCAAAGATATTGAATAATTATATACAAAATGACTAGATCAGCCCTAAACCAAAAATGTAATACGAAAACCATGTGAAACCTTGCTACACAGACCAATTTCTAATTTACTGTATGTAGGAAAGAAAATTAGTAAACGTCATCATTCTTACACCGGGCAAATACGTTAAGGCAGAGAGTTGTGGGCACTATGGTGTTTGAGAAATGCACAGCTAAGCTTAATGACACTTGCCCTACATTTCTTAATATATGGTCCCCCTGGCTGAATCATAGACTCCAAATTAATCTAGACCACGCCTTTCAGTCCCTCTGACCATGCTATTATACTAACTTTAAAGCCACCCTGGTTGGGCCTCAGCAACCCCCCCATTTTGCTAACAATGGACATAATGACAGAAAGAAAGCAGAGGGACAGAGATAAGCTCATCAATGTGCTGCTAATACTTCTCTCCAGTCACAGGCTGGGGGAGGGACAAGACAAGTGTTACTAATTGCAGCAGAGAAAAATCAAGTCTCCTGCCCCGCCAGACAGTGCACTGTTGTGTGCCATAGCCGTGTAAATCTCAGGACTGGATGGACAGGAATACAAATCCTTTGACAGACAAAAAACTGCCTTATATCTATTTCATTTGTGTAATTAGAGGTTTGCTTTGAATTCAGCTTCGTTTTGGTTTTGACTGCAGTGTACATTTAACATTGTCTATCAATTTTTTGTACCGCAAGTTCATTTAACAGCATGTATACGAAGAAACAGAACTCTGCTGAGGAACAAGCTGTTCAAAAATGAATGACGAGATTCTATACTCAAACCTGTTAACTCACAAGTTAAAGTGACCCTGTGATCAGCAGCTTTTCAAAAAAAACGATCCCCAGATAGGTAAGTACATGCAGTCTTCCTTTTGCAGCCATGTTTTACATTCAAGTGACCCTGTGCTGATAGTGTTACTTTAAAAGACATTTACTTATGATAAGGAACATCTTACCGATCAGTCTGTAGCACATTCAAAAGATGGTCCATTGCCTGAGTGCCCACTTCAAGACGATATTTCTGCTTAATCCAAAAAGGAAAAAAGAAAATTCAACTGCATGTAGCTAAATACTAGGGATGCACCGATACCAGTGCCGATACTTGGCATTTGCATGAGAACTACCAGGGTTGCAGCTGGGACCTGGCTCTGGCGCTCCACCACTGTCCTGAAATCATTAGTCTGTATTGTTTTAGAAAAACTGTCACATGACAATAAACAAAAATGTATCAGTACTTGTGTCTGTAAGTACTCGGCAAGTACCAGTACTTGTACTCGCAAAACTGGTATGGGTGCATCCCTTTATTTATATTTATAAAAGCAAAATCATACAATAAAACAGAGATGTACAAATCCCAGGAGCACCGTGTGCTCCTTACACATGACAGCTGCCTCCTAACGTTTGACTTTTTCTCTAGTCTAGTCTTGGAGCTGGAAAAGTATCTGTACTTGTACCGAGTACGGTACTTGGTATCGGTGCATCCCTACTAAATACGTTTATGTGGAAAGTCTGTTATGTTTACAAATAAGATATAAAATACAAATATAATATTTAACAAATAACCTGTAATGCTGTTCTACCTTCCATGTAAAAGGCAATAATTATTACTTTTTTGTTAAAGGCTTACTAAATCCTGGGCTTTTTTTACCTTAATACATTCTCTGCATTAAGGTAAAAAATGCCAAGTACCTTTTCGGTGTGTCCCCCCACACTTAACTGTCAGTGCCGCTCGTCAGCCCCACCAGTGCCCGAAGCGATCCTCCATCCTGAACTTCCTGGTTGCAGGGGAGCACGTTGAAGGTAGAGGAGCCATAGGCTCCTTCTGCTGTCAATCAACCTGTTGGGAGGAGAGGAGGGGCGTGGCCTGCTGCAAGGCTGTGGGTCTATGGACGCACACAGCTGCTTGTGGGTACACACAAGAAGCACGCATGGGTGCCTCCATAGCAGCCGCTTAGCTGATGGAGGCACAGATGCAGGGGGGTAGGAGGAAGAGCTATGCGGGGACCCACTAGAGAACGAGGAACTAAGAATTTGTAATGAGAAACAACAAAAGGATATGTACAAGTATGGGCCTCCTATTTATAAAATAAAAAACAAATGAAGCTTTAATATCACTGTAATTAGCTGCTTTATACGTTATCTTGGTACCACTGATAAAAGGCGTGGAGGAGCTCAGTTATGAAAAAAAGATTAGCTCAGGGGTGTGGAATTCCTATTGCCCGACAACTGGGACATGCAGTTCTGGGCGCTGGGCAGATGTTTTTTTTCTAAATTTAGCCCTGCCGCGGGCAAGCAGCAAGGATAAATGTAGAGCAGGGGAGCAGTTTTGTACAATTAATCTGGGCAACTGTACAGCTTCGTTGTGAACAGTGAGACAGGAAGGCTGTACTCACAGCCTTCTTGTCTCCACTGTCACATATGATCGAGCCAGTACTGTGCTCGAACTCCTGTATTGGACGGCAGGCTTCATAAAGAGAGCCTCTGAATGCCACCACACAGGGGCTTGTTATCCCCTGTGTGATAGCAATAAAGTTAAGTGGAAAAAAAACATTTTAAAAAAAAATTGATAAAAAGTGAAAACCAACAAAATAAATAAAAATTAAAAAAATTAAAAAATAAAGAAAACATTTTTAAAGAAAAAACCCTACCACCCCCACCATCTGCATCCGAGTAAAAGCACGCACTGTGAGTGTGAGCGCTGCCCCCATTCTACTGTGTGCCATATTGTGGTAGCCGGGCAGCAATGCTCTCTAACACACACAATGTGCATTATGGGTAAGTTCACTTTCCCAAGTAATTTGGGAAAATTTAATTAGCCGCTCAAATTTGGCCCCCTCTTCCCCTCCCTCTGCTATACTTACATTTCGGCGACAATACTTCCCCTCCGCTGGTAAGTTTGTAGTATCTGTACCCCATACTGCTGTCCAAAGCAGCCCAGCACCACGAATTTAGAATTTTGCTCGCCAATTGCAAGCACTCGTTGGTCAGTGCAGTCACCTGACCACGCTGACCAATGAAAAGCACTTCCTAGAACTGTTAATTAAGGTTTTGGTTAAAATTGTTTTTTGTATCACGACAAGTAGATTGTCATGAGGGACAAGTAGACTGGGCACCTTTTTAAGTCTTTGAACAGGTAGTTTTGTCCACACCCTTGTTAGCTAATTGAGTTTGTTCTGTCTGGAGAAAAAGACGATTAAGGCCCGGTTCACATCTGGGCGTTTTGTAGCGCGTTCCTATGCTCTGCAAAACGCTCAAACACCGAAATCCCATTATTTCCTATGGGTATGGATCACACCTGGGCGTATTACAGGCCGTATGAACGCGCTACAAAAACGCCCTGCGCCCAAAGAAGTACAGGAGCTTCTTTGGGGCGTTTTTGCCGCGCGTTTCCATCGGGATACAGCCAAGTAGCCCTCGGAAACGCGTGTTTGTCGCGCGTTTTTTTAGCGCGAATCGCAGTAAAAACGCGTGTCACGAAACACGCGACAATTGCGCATATTCGATACGCCTAGGTGTGAACCCAGCCTAAGGGGAGACATGATCACCATGTATAAATACATAAATGGTCTATATAGTAAGCTTGGTGCAAAGTTATGAACTTTAAGGGCATTGCAAAGGACAAGGGGGCAATCTTTGTAGTTGCATCTGGAGGAAGAGGATTCACCTTTCCATGCAGAAAGACGTCTTTACAGTAAGAGCTTAAAAATGTGGAATAAGCTACCTCAGGAACTAGTTCTAGCTAGCTCAGATAATTGTTTAAAGGAGAACTATGGGGTAAGTGTTTTTCCCCATAGTTTTCCTCAGGGTCACGGGAGGACATAAACTAGCGTCTTCCCGTGACCCAAAGCACAGTATACCGCGAGCTACAGCTCGTGGTATACTGAGACCACCGCAGCCGTGACGGATCCCGACATTACTGTGGGGGGGAGATCCCTGCAGGGAGCCGTGAGCGACAGTCACTGCTCTCTGCAGAGAGACGATTGAGAAGTGAGCGAGCGACGGTATGTGTTCGCTTACTTCCCGATCTATTGAGCCGACGTGTGACAGTTTCATTGTCACAAGTCGGCTAGAACTATGAGGCTGAGTGATTTTCACTCAACTCATAGTTCTCCTTTGAAAAAAGTCTGGATGCTTTTTTTTCAACCGGACTAACCATGTAACCACCAAACAAAACACAGAATACTTCACTTATGCAGCTCAATGAAAGACAGTTATAGAGTAAAACAAACAAAAAAAGCAATTACCGTGCACTGCCCATAGACCATACACAGTCAATAAACAAACCTTTGATAATGACTTCAGGGCTCTTACAGCATCTCTTCGGTCTTCTAGTAAAGTTGATGAAGCAACTCTGTCGCACAACTTCTGGATCTGTAAAAATAAATAAGGCTGATGAAGCATGGCTACTGGGCGCTTTTACTATTTTGGGTCTTAACTGCAGCTTTTAATAAAAGCAAAGTACCTAGCTCTTTAAAGGTAATCTGCATCATAGAAAAATCTCCTAAACTAAGATGTCTGCTAAAGAATAGGTAATATAAGTAGTCAACTCTTACTACTGTTGTTACAGTAAGCATACTCCCTACAGCTCTGGAGACCTCATCTTCACTCCAAGGCAAATACTTTTATTTGAAAGCTGCTATATTCAGGTAGAGAATGGTACCCCAAGAAGCGATGGAGAAGGGGGCCGTAACAATAGTACAGAACCCTAAAAAGTCCCTCTAATGTTGGAGGAGTCCTGTCAAAACCGTCACCCACAGGCACTGGGATCCTCAATGTCACAAGCTCCTGGAGGCGCTGGCGTCCACGAGGCCGCCCTCGAGCCGCATGCATCTAGCCTGGCTGGATGCACATGATATACCTATACAATTGATTTCCTCCATCTCCTGAGGAAGCGCTGGCAAGCATGAAACGCGTTGAGATTTCACATGACTCCTCCATTTCAATAGCAAGAGCTGGTTTGAACTACATATTTGAGAACCTTCTTGATTTCATCTCTATGTATTGTTTGCCGTCTCCTATTCAGTAACTGTAGTTACAACCCAGATCCACCACTTCTGGCTCTAGGAACATGTGCAATATTCACTATTGATGAACTATGTATTACTTGCTTTGATGCTAAATTGAGTAGAGTGATGTCTAAGGAGGTATCATGTTGGAGATTTGATTTTAGCTACTAATACCGGTGAAACTCGAATAATTAGAATATCGTGCAAAAGTAATTGCTGCAAAAGGGGCCCAAACCAAGTACTGAGCACATATGCATGCTTGTACTTGTCAGAGGTCCGATATTGTTCTATGTACAATCCTTGTTTTATTGATTGCATGTAATAATCTACTTTTTTGAGGTTGTGGATCTGGGGTTCTTGGGGTTTTCATGAGCTGTAAGCCATAATCATCACAATTATGACAAATCACGGCTTGAATTATCTTGCTTTGCATGTAATGAGTCTATCTCATATATGAGTTTCACCTTTTAAGTTGCATTAGTGAAATAAATGAACTTTGCACGATATTCTAATTATTCGAGTTTCACCTGTATATGAATTTTTAATTGCTATACAAATAAAAGACAATTTTTTATACAAGGTGGATGTTTGGATTTGTCCATTGATGCCTAAAAAACCCAGCTTTGCCATTTGTTTTGTAGCTCTTATAATCATAAAAAGGAATACTTAGGTATGAATAACAATTGGGAAAATTCTGTTATGTTCCTAATTAATCCTGGAGTCTAGTCTCAGGCTGTCCCATTCCCATTAATATGGATTAAAACTTTAAAAGTATCTCGGGTGTAAAACCAATAAAAATATAAAACTGAATTTTGCCCCAGTCCTCAAAAACATCAAATACAAATTTGCAGCAAGGGCATCTCCACACCTAACATTTACTAAGATTACTATTGCAGTCTGTGTCCCTGGTAGGCAGATTACAAAATTTCTACATATACGTGTGCTGACAAATAATTGTAGTCTTGCTTCCCAAGCTGTTTAACCCCTTCATGACTGAGGCTTTTTTTTTCCATTTTTTGCACCCATGTTATATTCCACATTTATGGCCTGGAAATTACTTAAAACCCACAAACATTATATATTTTCTGAAAGCCAAGACCCTATAGAATAAAATGTTTGCAGTTGCAAATTTTAATGTTGCACGATATTAGCGCAACTTCTTATCAAACCCCCGAATTTAGTGAAAAATGTACTTAAATGCCCCAAAACACAATAAAATACCCATTTTTAAAAATAAAATATAAAAGATGAGGTTACAACAAGTAAATAGATACCCAACATGCCCAGGTTAAAAACTGTGTGTGTCCATTAGAGATACCCAAAAATACTGGCCCTAGAATTATTGCTCTCACTCCAGCGTGTGCGGCGATACCCAACATGTGTAGCGTGTTCGTCGTTTTCATACGTAGGCGCACGCAACACGTGTTTACATGGCAACGCGCGTGCTCGCGGGGGCAGGGGACTTGAAAAAATGTTTTTAATTATTTTTAGATTTATTTAATTTAATTTTAAAAACTGTTATTTTTTTACTTTACTTTGATTGCTATCACATGGGGGGCTTACAAGCCCCCCATGTGATATCAGATGGTGGCGACAGGTACTCTTTAAGGCAGGGGTCCTCAAACTTCTTAAACATGGGGCCAGTTCACTGTCCCTCAGACATTGCTGGGTGCCCGATCATGGTTTAAAAAAACAGGGGGGGGGGCGTGGCTGTGGTTACTGGTTAGCTTACCGATTAGCTTACTGGTAAGCTTACTGGGGCACGCCCCCTCCCGTCCGAGAACAAAGGGGGAACGTTAGTGAGCAATTGCTGTGCGTTCCAGCAGCTGCTGCTCTGGTGTGAATGATGTTACGCTACTAAAGGAACCAAGGCATTTGGTTTGCCTCGGCATGCACCCTGAGATAAAAGGGCGCAGCAAGGCGGGGCCGGCAGAATGACGATCTCTCCCTGGACCCCGCGGGTGGGCGGCCGGCCGATTGATTATGTTGTTTAGGGCGGTTTGGCCTATTTTAACTGCTTGAAGACCAGGTGTTTAGACCCCCTTCCTGGCCAGGCCATTTTTCATTATTCAGCGCTGCGGTACTTTGACTGACATTTATTCCGTCCTGCAACGCTGTACTGAAATTAATTTTATACCATTTTTGGGGACACATAGAGCTTTATTTTGGTGGTGTTTAATCACCACTGCGGTTTTTATTTTTTTTACTATATTACGGGAAAATTACAGAAAATTTTCCAAAAAAACATAATATAAAATATAAAAGTCGGGGTCACGTCGGGTAAATAGACACCAAACATGTCAAGCTTAAAAATTGCGTGCACTCGCAAAATCGCAAAAAAAACACCATACCCAAAATTGACCATAGGCAACACTTTAAAAACTTTTACAGCTCATCAGTTTAGTGTTATCAGGGATTGATGGCCCTAGAATTATTGCTCTCATTGCGACGTTCGCGGCGATATGCAACATGTGCGGCGTAATGTGCGCAGTCGTCTTTTTGGCAGGTATGCGCACCCGACGCATGTTTGCATGCGTGTATGTATTGATGGGGACTTTAAAAAAAATGTTTATGTGTAATTTAAAAAAAATGTTATCTTTAATTTTGTTTCCTATTTGTTTCACTTAACTTTATTGCTATCACATAGGGGGCTAAGAAATCCCCCTATGTGATAGCAAAAGATGTTACAGGTCCTCTTTATGGAGACATCAGGGGTCTCCAAGACCCCTAATGTCACCTAGGACCCCCGAAGAAGCTGATGAAGCAGAGGTCTGCTTCATCAGCTTCTCTCCAGCGTCTGAAGCTGGAGAGTGACACAAGAATGTGGAAGTGATGTAATATACATCACTTCCGCATTCTTACAGCGGAGAGGGGACCGGAGGGAGGTCTTGTACCGACCTCCCTCTGATCCCCTGTGACAGAGGCACTATGCTGGTCTCGGGCTCAGCGCGACAATGGGAGGGGAGGGGACACGGGCCGACCGCCCATACAAGCGATCCGCCCGGCTCTATAGCTGGCGGATCGCTTGTATGTTAACAGGCATCGCTGCCTGTTTTTAAATTGACTGCATTTCCTGCGTGCGTGCAAGTGGGCGTGGCTTATCTAGAGAGCTCCCGGCCGGCCGTTTTTTTACAACGGCCGGCCAGGAGGTAGTAAAGGTAGGGGCCTGCAGCTCCCCGGCCTTGATACCCGGCCTTGATACCCGAACGGGCCGGGTCAAGGACCCTGGAGGGCCGGATGTGGCCTGCGGGCCGTAGTTTGAGGACCCCTGATCTAGGACAACATAGCCGATTTAGAAAAAGGCTCCAATTCAGCTCACTTTCCAGTTCAGCAATGTTGTCCTAGATTGTTCACTTCTCCTGCCTTCTCCACACTTTTCACCCTTTAGTGAATATGCGCAGTCTAACTGGCTTGAAAGCTCGGCAACCTGATTAGCTTACTTATAAAAACTGGCGAGTTCTAAAGATAATCTTAGAAGGTGCTCTGGGCTTGTTTGTATACGGATGTATAACAATCTTTTAACTTCACAATTGTAAAACGGTGCAAAAACAACGCGTTGGCACTTCCATTGTTTGTGCCAGAAATGGACCAGGAAGTAGATAAACTTGTTTTTAATTTACTTACAAATAGAGTTTAACTAATGAATGCAAGATGATTTAAAATCAGCATGCAGATCTGTATGCTGAGGTGATTTTTAGTGAAAGGGTTGTAAATGTCCACTTTAAGCAGATCCACCAACAGGTCTATACCAGCCTTTTTTAGCCAGGGTACCGTGGGGGACTCTGATGTGAAAGAGTGGGGCTCTCTCCACAGGAAGAAACATTGAATGGTATGTATAACCAAAACGTAAGTAAAGTTAATAAGGGTTAAAACCCCCAGGCTCTGGCTGGGTATCGGAGGAAGGCCGCTCCTGGCTGGAGAGGCCCTGGGGGTGACAGGCTGGAAATGCCGAGGTGAGAGGGGACAGAGATCCGCACTGCAGAGACATGCTGGATCTTATTATTATTATGGGGATTCGTATGGGACGGCATACTTGTTAATCGGGAAGCCGGGTGGCGAGTCATTACACGCCACCTGGCTTCCTGTATGGGACTTCCAGTACTCTGCAATGTGTATCGGCGAGTACCGGAAAAAAAGTATCGGTACTCGTACTCGGTACCAAAATACCGGTATCGGTGCATCCCTAGTCATAACCAAACACATCTAAAAAGGTGTGTTTGTTGTTATTTTAAAGATATAGGTGAAGTTCCTCTTTAAGTGAAATGCTGAATAAGAGAATGGACTTGCATTTATTTCTTCCTACATGGCCGCACAAATGTTCTTTATTCTGAAGAATTTCTGTGAATGCTTGAAATAGTTCAATGT